CTGGGCTAGGCTGCTCTGGGCCTAGGCAATGGCTACTCCTCCTTGGCTAGGACAACTCGTGTCGTGTCAGCAGAGGCTCATGGAATTTGTTAGAGCAGAGGAGTAAACTCAGAAGCCTGGTGACTGTAAAGCAGCTGGTCTCTCTGTGCTACCTCTCTTAGTTTGCCCTGGCTCCACATCAGAGCTGTGTAAACTTGACCACCCCAAAAACAGCATAACTCAGTACCAAGCAGGAAAAACAGCTGTCCATAAAGAAGCTGCATGTCTGAACATGCGAAATAGAGAAATAACTCAGTACCAAGCAGGAAAAACAGAAGCTGCATGTCTGAACATGCAAAATAGAGAGCTCCAGCTTTCCTCCAAGAAACAGAAAATTAATGACAAAATTAACGATATCTCTTCAGCCCCATTTTGAGAACCCCACTGTGACTGGCACTGAAGGGAGCACCCCTGTCCCAAAAGCAACAGTCTGTGAGACTGAAGTCATTCTCCAGGGTAAGCAGAACCCTTCCTAGACATCTTCAAACTGTTTAATTAATGCTTGTGAACAATACTTTTATTTAGGGCAAACCCCAAAGACATTAAAAAATATACAGAATATATACTAATTAAACATAGTATAGTTGCCTCAGCATTAAATAAAATGGAAGAGTAAAACACTAATAGCTTACCTTAGAACCTTCATTTTTACGGTCATGCTGTTAAGGGGGAAAAAAGAGAAGAAAAAGAAATAAGCACTGACTTTAAGAGAAGCCAGCAGTCATGAAGGAGATGCTCTGTACAGAGTCCTCATGATACGTGTAATTGCTCAGACTCCAGCTTCCAAAGCAGGTCCACTCCAGCACCCGAGGGCACTGGCTCTGCAGTGGGCAGGAGCTGGTGCTCATGCTGGGCCCCTGTGGGCTGCCACCCTCCAAGTCCCAAACTGCAAGGCAAGGCCAAGTCACCGTGCCAGCAAAGAGATTAGCTAATCACTAGATTAGTTTCTTCAATGACAGTCACGTAACTGTGGTCAGAAATCAGTTCAGAGTGGTGGAACGAGAAGACTAATTTGTTTCCCCATGGGGCTCTGGATGATGCACAGGCTGCATAAAAACCTAACCCCCTGCTCAATTTGCAGGGCGCATCTTGGTGCACTTGTTTGCTGGGTTACCTCAAGGAGGGCCACGCTTCTACACAGCGCTTGAGAGGAGGCTGCTATGCCCAGCGGGCCTTACCGGGTGGATCTCCCCTATGTAGTACTCCTTGAGCATTTCCCTGGCATCCGCGGAGTGCCCCACATCCTCGAAGCTCTCCGTGGCATCTCTGCCAGCCTGTTCGAGCAAAACCTCTTCTCCACCTGGATGCTGCAAAAGAAGAGTTTGGGTGAGCAAAAAGGGCCCCTCTCTTCTATCCCTCTCAGGATGCCACAGCTGCTTCAAGACAACATCACAGGATAAGCCCCACCAAAGATGCAAGTGCCAGCTGCTCTGCGCTCACCCACAGACGACTCAGACCACAACCCCCACGTTAAACAGAGGTGTCTGACGTGTCACAAACAGCCTGGGCGGTCGCGCTCTGGTGCGGTTCTGTTTTCCTTGACAGGTTGGGCTCCTCGCTAGCGCTGTCAGGACCATAACTCCAGGAAAGGGTCATGGAAAACACTAAGCACAAGGCCAGCAAAGCACCATCTCTAGATAGTGCGTGCACATGTGTGTGTGCGTGTGTGTGTGAACAAATCGTTCAGTTTAAACCATCAGTTAGTCCAGTTAAAGTGATCAGGATTCTGAGTCCACGTACAGAGACTAGTCCAGTTTTCTAGAGCATCGGGCAACTAAATACACCAGCTGATGAGACTTGTTCACAGCTGCCTGGGCATATCCCTACAGACAACAAGTCTGGAACACCAGAGACGTTAGACTAAATTCCAGATCAAAGCCCTGAAACACCTGCTCCTGCAGTACCGTTTGTCTTCACACGGGCACACAGCACTCGTCAATGCCCCTCTGCCTTCAGACTGTTTTTACGGCCAAAAGCCTAGATATCCCCCTCAGATATCGCACCTCCTACCAAACACATTCAGTTAGAGACACAAGACCAGGCCGCCTGTTCACTCCAGTGAGTTGCTTGGCCTGAGGACTGCAGAACTGGCCACGAGTTCTTCACTCCGAACAAGTCCCTTTGTTGACCGAGCGCGTAAGGACCGCGCCGACGCGGAGCCCGCTCAGCAGCCACGCGGGGCAAAGTCTGCGGGCCGAAGACGCAGCGCGGTTACACGGCCGAGGCAACGGCACGAGCCGCTGCGCCTGCCCCGGCCCGCTCATCCCGCGGGGCCCCAGCAGGGACGGCTCTAGCAGGAAAACAGCCCTGCAAAACGGGAGCGGAATCGCTGCCTGCCGGGAGAGCGGCGAGAAGCACACAGGCTAGAGCATGGCCACCCTTTGGGACGGCTCTTCTGCCTTCAGCCTTCAACAACTCCTCAAGAATGTCTCACCAGAAATCTCCTTTCAAATGGAAAACTACTAGACTAAGATTTTGAAGAATTAACCTTATTTTTCTCATTATCAACTCTAAAACAACAGGGAAAAATCCCTAAAACCAGGGAAAATGGAGAGCATCCTGGCTGTTGGTAACCACCAGTCTTTGCATATACAAGTGAAGAAAAATGATACAGTACAAGAGAAAAAAAATGGTAAAGTTTTCTTCTCCTTACATGTTTGGGTCTGAAGCCTTTCTATGCGCTCATTAACTCCACAAGTAAGAGAAAAAGAGATCTTTATTTGTGCACATCTGTCCTTCACTATAATCTCCAAGTGAAAAAATAAAAAGATCCTCAACAATATTTTGGCATATTGTGCTTCTGTCCTAGTCTAGACACACACATCTGCAGCCAGACAGTTCCTACCTCGTCATACCTGAACAAATGCAAAACCAGACTATTTATACAAGAAGGCATTACTCCAACCACAGATTTCCCCAAAACTACAGCTCCTGCAGGAAAACACAGAAACTGCAAGAACCATTAGAGACTCAGAAGCCAAATTCTATTTACATGGCTGAAATGAAGGTTTGCTCATTCTAGAACAAAAATGGACAACAATCAGCAAGAGCCACGAAGGGGTGGCCCCAAGAGCCCCACAACAGCACTGTAACCAGCACCACCTTGTCACTGCAGTCAGGAACACGCACAGTAAATAAAATACACACCGACAGCAACAGCCTCTTAGCACCAACTCTGGAAGGATATGACCAGCAGCACTGCGTGCAGAAAACGGAGTTTTATGAGGAGAACATATCCTGGTTTGGAAACGAAAACCACCACAACCATCACTAGCATAAGGTTCTCTGCAGTCCCCAACCGGGAGAGCGCAAGAAGAGCTGCCCTTGTCACAGGCTTGTCACACAGCGGGGTAACACCCAAGATGCACTCGTACTCTGCCCCACCAACTGACAAATCTGAGGCATAGTGGTCCCAGCCCAGGCTCCTTCCACTTGGAAACTCCTTCAGGTGGCCTCCAGTCACACTTGTCACAGGTTCGACAAGCACCAGCACACGCCAAGACAAGTCCTGCTGGCTGCAGGACTCTGCTAACCCACAAAGGGGTATCCCGAGGAACTGCCTCTCTGACTCTACTGCTCTCAGGAAAAGTGGAGAAAAACACATCCCTCTGTCACAGGAATGAGCGAGAAGAAGTATGTCACAGACTGTGCACAAGTTCAAAGCTGCAGACTCTACTCTCACCTCAAAGAGCCTGTCAGAGGCACGCGGGCCCTTCATCAGCCTCCTCACCTATCCCAAGGAACCCTTTTTGCTCTTGCCACGTCTACATTTGCTTTCCTGGACTATTGCAGTTCTGGGTATCATTTGTATCATGTACATTGGTGATCTCGTTTACCTAGATTTGAAAGAAAATTAAGACAGGCTTTATGGCAACAATCATATTTCATTTTAAACACTTACAAGTCCAAATCTCTTGGAAACATCTATGAAATTTTAGTTGCTGTCTTTGCACATCTCCTGCATTTTGCTCATGTTCTTATAATTCAGCAGATTTTTGCTAGGTGATAAATATGTCTTAATTGCTTCCATTACTGCACAAATGACAAATTAGAAGTTTAAATTGATCTATATTGACCATACATATCTATATAACCAACAAACCGATTCTGAATTAGCAAAGTAATTGATGACCTTCTGTTCTTAGCTTGCAGGAATTGTAACGCAAAATTCAACACTATTTTAGCAGTGAGGCTTCTTAGAGATTATGCAACCCCTCTGAGATAACGCTTCAGTGCGATTCAGCAATCCTGTACAAATAATCTGTGGCCAGGGGCCAGAAAGGGCAACAATCAGACACTGCTTCACTAACTACACAGGATCCAGAGGAAATATCAGGCACTGAAGCCCCGACATCTGCAGTTAGGGCAGCTGAGAGCTCTAATGCAAAACAATTTATCAGGCACAGTAGTAACTTCTAAGCAAGACAAGCCTTCCTGGTTCTCAGCACCTACACATTGTTTTCATGTCACTGGGCTGGTTACCTAATAAAGTGTATTTTCACGAAAAAATTAGAGACTGATCTACATTTACAAGTGTCACTATGCCAGCGAGGGGTGCAGACAACAGATACTGCCATGCTCCTCTCTCCTTCCCTAATCCAAGTAGATCTTTTTCATGTTACAACAAGGCAATTGGGACAAAGGGCTTGGAAAGGGCAACGCCAAATCCCACTGCTAGAATAACCCTCAGGTCACTGCTAAGGCTGCTGTTCAGCACCTCACTCACCCCAGGCAGCAAAGCATTTTTCTGGCCTCATTTATAAAGAGGCCTGAGGAACGCTGAGAGTGTCCCAGGGAGTGTCCCAGGTGCCACTGCTCACTCTGGGAATGCCAAGGTGACAACTGACTCGGCCCATGCTCTGCAACATGGGCTCATTCACTCTGCGGGTCTGGTAGTAAATATCCTGAAAACATTTTCCTAACACTAAGCCTGAAAAGCAATGGCCAGCAACCATAGCTGAACTCGGAGGCAGGCATTAGGCTTGAGCTTTCCCCATTTCCAGCCTCCAGCTACTTCTGGCTCTTCCTAAGCCCCAGGTGCTTTGCCACTTAGTAACCAAGAGTGAATTGCTTTTCCAGGTTCTGATCCCTTCTTCCTCCGAATCCCGGTAAGTTTCTGCACTCCAATATCCTTTGACAAGGAGTTCAACAGGTCTGTTCCCTACTGTGTGAAGAAACAGCATCTGCAAACAGTGCTGGAGAAGCCACAGGTGAGCAAAGGGCCCACGAGCCAGGATCAATTTATGGCCCTGTAAAGAAAAGCAACATTTTTACTACAAAGAGTTGCCAACAGTGCCAAACTGACTAGGGCTAAGACTAACTGAAGCCACCAGATATATAAAGGACGCACTACAATTTGCACACTGAAACATCTTAGAAGTTCCTTTAGAAAAAGGCTGGGGAGAAGACTCAAAAGTGTTAAGTTAGATTCAAAATAAAGCATTATGATGCTGGATCCCAGGAAAACAACAGCCTGTGTCCAACTTGGCAAACAGGCGCTGAGAAGCCCCGCAGACGCCACTGCTCCCAGGTGTCAACCACGGCAAGGCCGCTGCTGGGCTGTCGCTGCCCCTCGCACGGCGCCAGGCTGCCCTGGCTGCTCCACGCTCCGTCCTGCCGGGCTTCCACGGGGGAAACCAAAGGGAGCCGGGGCGGAAGGCGCACGTTGCCGCTGGGGCTCTTCCCCGAGCGCCGCTTTGGGTGACCTGCGGCGCTGCCCTGCGGCTCTGCAAGGGGCCAGGACGATGGCAGCTGCGACGACCCCCAGGAAGCTCCCTCCATCCCTGCACTGGTGACGGCCCCGCGAAGCGCCCAGTCACGAGTGGGGGGGGTAGAGGAGCCTTTTGTCCTCGGGGCCAAGAAATTCTGACCCCAGCCCCCTCCCCAGGCCTTCTGACCCCTTCCCTCCCCCTCTTGGCACCCTCCGGGCTCTCTCGCCCCTCAGTCCCCCCTCTCCCCCGCCGATGCAGAGGGGACGGGACCAGGAGCCGCCCCCTCCGGCCTCACCTCCGCTAGGAAGCGGGTCACATCGTAGACCCGCCCGTGGATGACCAGCCAGGCCTCGCGGCTAGAGTTGCGCCTCGCCACCTCCTCCCGGGTGAAGAGGGGCCCGCCCGGCGCCCCCGCGCAGCCCCCGGCCTCCTCGCGCCCCTGCGCCTCCATG